GATGTGCTGCTGGATTTGGTTTGCCAGTATTTTATTGAGGATTTTCACATCAAAGTTCAGCAGGGATATTGGCCTAAAGTTTTCTTTTCAGTGGTATCTCTGCCAGGTTTTGGTATCAGGATGATGCTGGCCTCATAAAATGAGTTAGGGAGGAGTCCACCCTTTTCGATTATTTGGAATAGTTTAATAAGGAGTGATACCAGATCCTCTTTGTACCTCTGGTAGAGTTTGGTTGTGAATCCATCTGCTCCTGGGCTTTTATTGGTTGGTAGGCTGTTAATTATTGCCTCAATTTTAGAACTTGCTGTTGGTCTATTCAGGGATTCGATTTCTTCCTGGTTTAGTCTTGGGAGGGTGTATGTGTCCAGGAATTTATCCATTTCTTCTAGATTTTCTATTTTATTTGTGTAGCGGTGTTTGTAGTATTCTCTGATGGTAATTTGTATTTCTGTGGGATCAGTGGTAATATCCCTTTTATCATTTTTTTATTGTGTCTATCTGATTCTTCTCTCTTTTCTTCTTTATTATTCTAGCTAGTGGTCTATCTATTTTGTTAATTTTTTCAAAAAATCAGCTCCTGGTTTCATTGATATTTTGAAGGGATTTTCATGTCTCTATCTCCTTCAGTTCTGCTCTGATCTTAGTTATTTCTTGTCTTCTGCTAGCTTTTGAATTTGTTTGCTCTTCCCCCTCTAGTTCTTTTCATTGTGATGTTAGACTGTCGATTTGAGATTTTTCCAGCTTTCTGATGTGGGCATTTAGTGCTATAAATTTCCGTCTTCACGCTGCTTCAGCTGTGTCCCAAAGATTCTGGTACATTGTCTCTGTGTTCTCATTGGTTTCCAAGAACTTCTTGATTTCTGCCTTGCTTTTGTTATTTACCCAGGAGTCATTCAGGAGCAGTTTGTTTAATTTCCATGTAGTTGTGCGGTTTTGAGTGAGTTTCTTTATCCTGAGTTCTAATTTAATTGTAGTGTGATTGGAGAGACTATTTATTATGATTTCAGTTCTTTTGCATTTGCTGAGGAGTGTTTTACTTCCAACTATGTTGCCAATTTTAGAGTAAGTGCCATGTGGCACTGAGAAGAATGTATATTCTACTTATTTGAGGTGAAGAGTTCTGCAGATATCTGTTAGGTCCACTTGATCCAGAGCTGAGTTTAAGTCTTGAATATCCTTATTAATTTTCTGTCTCATTGATCTGTCTAATATTGACCATGGGGTGTTAAAGTCTCCCATTATTATTGTGTGGGAGTCTGTCTCTTCGTAGGTCTTTAAGAACTTGTTTTATGAATCTGGGTGCTCCTGCATTGAGTGCATATATATTTAGCATAGTTAGCTCTTCTTGTTGCACTGATCTCTTTACCATTACGTAATGCCCTTCTTTGTCTTTTTCTGATCTTTGTTGGTGTAAAGTCTGCTTTGTCAGAGAGTAGAATTGCAAGCCCTGCTTTCTTTGTTTGTTTGTTTTGTTTTGCTTTCCATTTGCTTGGTAAATATTCCTTCATCTCTTTATTTTGAGCTTATGTGTGTCTATGCACATGAGATTGGTCTCCTGAATACAGCACACTGATGGGTCTTGACTTTATTCAATTTGCCAGTCTGTGTCTTTTAATTGGGGCATTTAGCCCATTTACATCTAAGGTTAATATTGTTATGTGTGAATTTGATCCTGTCATTGTGATGCTACTAGTTATTTTGCGCACTAGTAGATGCAGTTTCTTCATAGTGTCACTGGCCTTTATATTTTGATGTGTTTTTGCAGTGACCAGTATGAGTTTTTTCTTTCCATATTTAGTGCTTCCTTCAGGAGTTCTTGTAAGGCAGGCCTGGTGGTGACGAAATCCCTTAGCATTTGCTTATCTGTAAAGGATTTTATTCCTTCTTTGTTTATGAAGCTTAGTTTGGCTGGATATGAAATTCTGGGTTGCAAATTCTTTTCTTAAAGAATGTTGAATACTGGACCCCACTCTCTTCTGGCTTGTAGGGTTTCTGCAGAGAGATCCGCTGTTAGTCTGATGGGCTTCCCTTTGTAGGTGACCTTACCTTTCTCTCTGGCTGTCCTTAACATTTTTTTCTTCATTTCGACCTTGGAGAATCTGATGATTATGTGTTTTGGGGTTGATCTTCTTGTGGAGTATCTTAGTGGTGTTCCAAATTTGAATGTTGAATTTGAATTTGAATGTCGGCCTGTGTTGCTAGGTTGGGGAAGTTCTCCTAGATAATATCCTGAAGTGTGTTTTCCAGCTTGGTTCCATTCTCCCCATCACTTTCAGATACACCGACCAATCATAGGTTTGTTCTTTTCACATAGACCCATATTTCCTGGTGGCTTGTTTATTCCTTTTTATGTTTTTTCTCCAATCTTGTCTGTGTGTCTTATTTCAGCAAGGTGGTCTTCAATCTCTTATATCCTTTCTTCCACTTGATCGATTCGGCTATTGATACTTGTGTATGGTTCAGGAAGTTCTCGTGCTGTGTTTTTCAGCTCCATCAGGTCATTTATGTTCCTCTCTAAACTGATTATTCTAGTTAGCACTTTCTGTAACCCTTTATCAAGGTTCTTAGCTTCATTGCATTGGGTTAGAATATGCTCCTTTAGCTAAGAGGAGTTTTTTATTACCCACCTTCTGAAGCCTACTTCTGTCAATTTGTCAATCTCGTTCTCCATCCAGTTTTGTGTCCTTGCTGGAGAGGGGTTGCAATCATTTGGAGGAAAAGAGGCATTTTGGCTTTTGGAATTTTCAGCGATTTTGCAATGTTTTTTCCTCATCTTCGTGGATTTATCTACCTTTGATCTTTGAGGCTGATGACCTTTGGATGGGACTTTTGTGTGGAGGTCTTTTTTTGTTGATGTTGATGTTGTTGCTTTCTGTTTCTTATTTTGTCTTCTAACAGTCGGGCCCCTCTTCTACGGGTCTGCTACAGTTTGCTGGAGGTCCACAGCAGACCCTGTTTCCCTGGGTGTCACCAGTAGAGGCTGCAGAACAGCAAAGATTGCTCCTTGCCCCTTCCTCTGGAAGCTTCGTCCCAGCAGGGCACAGACATGATGCCAGCTGGAACTCTCCTATATGAGGTATCTAGAGACCCCCGTTGGGACGTCTCACCCAATCAGGAGGCATGGGGTCAGGGACCCACCCAAGGAAGCAGTCTGACTGGCCCTTAGAGGAGCTGGCATGCTGTGCTGAAGGAATCTGTCTCATCCAGATCACCTGGACTCTCCAGAGCCAGCAGGCAGGAGAGATTAAGTCTGCAGAACCTGAGACCATGCTGCCCCTCACCTCAAGTGCTCTGTCCCAGGGAGATGAGAGTTTTATCTGTAAGCCCCTGAGGAGCTGCTAGATTTCCTGAAGAGATGCCCTGCCCAGTGAGGAGGAATCTAGAGAAGCAGTCTGGCCAAGGCCACTTTGTCATGCTGTGGTGAATTCTGCCCAGTCCAAATCTCCCAGCCTCCTTAGCACTGTCAGGGGAAAATCGCCTTTAAAGCCACAGTAATGGTGGTCGCCCCTCCCCCCACCAAACTCAGACGTCCCAGCTCAACTCCAGACTGCTGTGCTGCCAGTGAGAATTTCAAGTCAGTGTTTCTTCAGCCCCTTTTCCAGGTGAGTGGACAGTTATCCTGTCTCACTGGAGTTCCAGGTGCCGTTGGATTACGAAAAACCTCCTGCAGCTTGGTGTCTGCCCAAACAGCCACCCAGTTTTGTGCTTGAAACCCGGGGTCCTGGTGGTGTAGGCTCATGAGGGGAACTCCTGATCCGAGGATCGCAAAAATCCATGGGAAAAGCATAGTACCCTGGGCAGGCAGCACAGAGCCTCACCATGTCCCTTGACTAGGGGAGGGAGGTCCTCCGGCTCTGTACACTTCTGGGTGAAGCAACGTCCCACTCTGCTTCTGCTCACTGTGTGTGGATTGTACCCACCGCCTAACCACCCCCAATGAGATGAACTGAGTACCTCAGTTGGAAATGCAGAAATCGCCTGCCTTCTGCATTGGTCTTGCTGGAAGCTGCAGACAGGAGCTGTTTCTATTCCGCCCTCTTGGCCCCTCCTGCCAAGCATTGTTTATTTAAAACATTTTTTATAGTTTTATGGTGCTGACACACAGGATATGCCTGAAATTTTGTAAAATAAATAACAATGTTCAAGCAAATAACACATTTATAAACCTGCCCCAAAGATGCAATAAATAACAGTCCTGTAAAGAAGTAACTCTATTCTCAGTGTTCCCAGGGCCCAGAAGAAGGGCACACAACCAACCAGCCCAGGGGCCCCAAGGCTCTGTCTCCACCCCACAAACAAAGCCTGAGATGCTGCGTTGAGGTCACTGCCCAGCACCGCCAACCTGGCCTCCAGGTTCAAGTCCCAGGAAAGTCAGAATAGAAGAAAATAGAAGTGAAGGAATCACTACTGACTAGGTCCAGGCTGTTTATTTTTGTAATGTTAAATCACTCTGTGCAGGCCAGTAATATTGTCTGAGAATTACTTGAGAATTCTACAGTATAGCTGAGCTTTAATTTTTAAAGTAGAGTAACTCACAAAATTAGTGTATGATCCCATACTACATGTGGTTAATTTTGTCAGCTTGGCTATGTTGTGGTACTCAAGTATGGGATTAAACATCCGTCTGGATGTTACTGTGAAGATTGTTTTTAGATGAGAAATGACCTCACTCTCTTGCTGAATACTTCCCTCCATTCTACTCTTATCAATATGAAAGCTTTTTACTGTTACTTCCAAATTCCACGTTATCAAGGTCTTTTCATTTTCTGCTCTTTCTGGAAAATTCTACCAGATATTTGCAAGTTGGCTCCTTCCCTTTCTACAGTTCTTAGCTTCAAGTTCACTTCCTTAGGTCTTTCCTGACCACTGTCTCTAAAGTGACCATCACACCACCTACCCAAATTATAATTCTCTGCTTAGACTTCTCCTCATTTGGTATTTTTCTGATAGATTGATTGCAGTGGTTCCCATACTCATTTTACTTGTACTTTTATCTACAGAACTCCACTAGGGTGGAAGGAGAGGAAGAGACTAAGGATTCACATCTCACAAAGACATTTATGGAAGACCGAGTGTGTTTCCAGTATCTTTCAGAGTTTGCAAATGAGGCGGTGCCCAGCATAGACAGGTTCTTTGCCCACCCATCCTAAATCCACAAGGCCATAGATGCAGAAAGGATATTTAATAAAGTTCAACACTGAGTCCTGACAAACACTGTGCAAGAAAGCTCAAACAGAAAGGAAGTTTCTTATTCTGATTGAGAATACATCATACTTCTGGTATGCTACTGAAAGCTTCTGAGGTTGGGAATAAGACAAGGGCTCTGGCTGTCACCATTTCTCTTGAACCTTACAGTGGAATTTGGCACTACGGGAATTGCAAGTCAACACAGTGGCCACTCAAGGAGAAGCAAGGGGTGGCTGGAAGGAGAGGTGCCCCTGGAGTTCTGTAAAATCTCTTTCTTGATGTGCCTTTGAGTGTTCTCTTTGTGAAAATTCTTTGAACTGCACTCTTATGATTTGTGCATATTTCCCTATGAACATTATACCTCAATAAAATATTGACTTAAATAACGGAAGCAATCTGGATGTCCATCATTGGGGGAATGGATAAATCAAAATATATTTCTATTGTGATAAGTTACCCAACAGTTTGAAAAGAATAAGAGTGATCTGTATATGTTAAGTTGGAAAAAATCTCCAAGACATAATAGTATATGAGAAAGGAAAGTTGTCCCATATTCTCATTTGTGGATATGTGCGAATATTAAACATTTTTTAAAAGACTTAGAAAGGAGACAGACTGTAGAAGACAAAATGAAAATTCTGTTTTTTGCTCTATTATATTATTTGATTAGTTTGTAACACAAATATATTCCTGCATCACTTGTGTAAATGAGTACCAGTATTTTCTAGATGGATGCAGAGGAGACCATGGCTGATGGTGTAGCGTGGCACAGGGTGGGGTTCCTGGGGAACAGAACACTGCCTTTGCTGGGGATCCTGCAGGAGTTGGGGGGCAGTGACCTGGAGGCATCAGGGCTCCACCTCCTTTGCCATCTTTCAGTAGCTTGGCGACTTCGACAGGCAGCTGAGCCTCTGACATGGTGTCCTCGACTCAGAAAGGGAAGGTGGAAGGCAGCGATGGTCACGACCTGTCTAATCCTGCTGGGTTGTTTCTCTGCCACTTGGGACTCTGTGTAAAATGTGTGTGGGAGAATCAGACCTTTCAGTTGAACCTTGACTTTCAGTCAACTTTTTGTTCTGTCCTAAAATTGGAGAGAAAATGATCTTGAGGGGCATGGCTTTAAGAGGTATTGACTGGTGACTCTGTGTGGGATGAAGAGCTGGTTCCTGCACATGATTTCTGGAGCCAGGGTGCCCCCACCCCAGATTCTCAGTCTCCTGACAGCATTTCAACACAACATTGCTGTTTGTCCTTTGGTGCCTAAATGGGGAGACAAAGTCTGAAATTGTTACTTTAACAGGAAGGAACTACAAACAAATAGCAAGGCATAAATCTAGGTTTGAAAATAAACGGTCTACACAGACAGCTCCTTCAGCTGCCTCCCTGTGAGTGGAGTGACAGGTCACCCAGCTGCCTAGGGCCAACAGAACCCCTATCTGTCAGTCTCACTGATTGCTCAAGGCAGATCGCTTGCATCTCCCTGGAGCCTGGGCCTGCTCAGCTGAGGTGAGAGCTCACCTTGCAGTCTAGCTGGTGTTCACCTCATCTTTTTCCTCCCACCTCCCTTGGCAGACAGCTCCACCCCTGTTTCCAGCCGGCCTGGGACTGCCTCAGCACTGGCCCTCTTCTCCGGCTGTGCAGGGCCCTGCACGCGTCACTACACTCTTTTTTTTTTTTTTTTGAGACGGAGTCTCGCTCTGTCACCCAGGCTGGAGTGCAGTGGCCGGATCTCTGCTCACTGCAAGCTCCGCCTCCCGGGTTTACGCCATTCTCCTGGCTCAGCCTCCCGAGTAGCTGGGACTACAGGCGCTCGCCACCTCGCCCGGCTAGGTTTTTTTTGTACTTTTTAGTAGAGACGGGGTTTCACTGTGTTAGCCAGGATGGTCTCGATCTCCTGACCTTGAGATCCGCCCGTCTCGGCCTCCCAAAGTGCTAGGATTACAGGCTTGAGCCACCGCGCCCGGCGTCACTACACTCTTAGCTGCAGCTGGGATCAATGTCATTTTGGGGAGCAGAAGCCCCCCTGAACACATCAGTGGGGGGTCATGAAGGGACAGATTCCTCCCGCAAGCCACACATACTGCTGCTGTGTTCAGGCCAAGCCTCCTGGAAATCGTTAAAAGGGACCACTGCCTCTTTCAGATGGGCCCTCCTTAATCCTTCATTGGGAGTTTAATTGGCACCACCTTGGGGGGCGCTGTGTGTTTACAAAATGATACACAAACCCAGACATTCATTAGCGCTGTCAGTGTCTTTGGAGTGATAAATAGTGGCAAGGCTCGTCAAAATGCTTCAGGAGCTAATCCCAAATTAACTTTTCTTTGCCTTGCCAAGAAGAAATATGAGAGCAATGAAGGTTTTATGATAGCCCATAATCTCACAATTAAACAAGTGACTGAAAAAATGGAACAATGTATTATACTTTAATTGAAAGGCAGGAACCAAAATAAACATGAGCGCCCCCAAGTCCTTCTGGTGACAAGCCCCAATATGCCTAAGCTTTAATGCCAACTCCAGCCCACCTCCAAGGCAAGTGCACAGTGCTGGGGGTGCGTCCACGGATGGAGCGCGCAGCACCACACGAGGCTGGCTGGCATCTGCTGGTTTGCTGTCTGATCAGTTATAAATGGGCTGTCTCCAGGACTGTTTTCACACGTCCACTGCACTCCAACAGTTGCCCAAATTAAACCATTGGAATTCTACGGGTAATTGAGTTTAAGGTTTAATCTTACCTACAAGTAAATAACTCAATTCCACCAGGAGAACCACCACATGGTCTAGAGAAAATCTGAAAAGGAATGAAAGACCTCAACAGTGGAATTGCCAATGAGGGGGAGAGAAGGGCAGCGGCGGCAGGGCTGTTGTTTGCCCTCTGGAGAGTAATGTAAACTAGAGCTTAGCTTCCCCTCCAGACCACCCAGTTTTATCTCTTTAGAAAAACATTAGCACATTTGAAATGTCTGAGTAGCTCAGGAAGCCACTCAGGAGTTATTGAGAAGAGGCTGCCTGTCTTTACTTTCCATTAGCAGAAGGAGACACCAGGATAGTTGGGGTACACCGAAGCAATTGCCAAAAAATTCCAGATCAATATTTTTAAATTGCATCGTAAGGGCAAATTACTCTTTTCTTCTTTCTCCTGTTTAAATTAAATTCAACTAATGCATTTGGTTATAGACGATTACAATCTGCCTATTCTGGATGGCTTCAAAGTTGAGTCAGCAAGAACTTTGGAATCGATTGTCCTTGCTATGGAATACGTCTTGCCTTTTGCTCTCCTTTCCATATCTGTGATTTTGAAAACTGTTTTCCCTTGAAAAAGAGAAGTCTAGCTGGTGGGCCTCATTTTAACAATCAGGATGGAGATTTGAGGAGAATGCAGTTCTCGGGCCTCTTTGCACTGCTGGACTTCCCTCCAGACAGGTCTGGGTGCTCTTCCATTCCTCACAGTGAGCCAGAGAAACGGCCCAGCGCCACCCGGATCCTTTGGCCTGTGGAAGTTCTCCATGCTGTGTAGACTCCAGGACATTTACCAGCCTGGATCCAGTTCCCGGTATCACTTTCCACATTCAAATATTTCCACATATTTTGTAAGAAGATGATGAACCTTATTTCTCCTCCTTCACTCTTATTTTTCTGAGTGTTCTTGCAGCAGGTGATTTGTTACCTGCGTATCTCCAGCTGTCGGCGAGGGCCGTCTCTGCTGAGCAAACCTCAGCAGCAGCGCCAGAAAAATGTCTGTCCAGGGATTTGCAGAGATCACAGAGCAGACCGAAGCTGCTCAGGAAGTCCAGCAGCTCTGCCACTAGCGCTTGCGTGGAGCAGCCCCCACTGACACCCCTTCAGTGTCCGCCCTCTGGCCCTGACAGCAGCCTGTGAGATGGGTCTTCAGGTGACAGGTTCTGATGCTCCAGCAGCCTGTCTTGGGGGCTGTTCTGCACATGTACTTCTCACCCCAGAACCCTGTCCTGAGGAGGGTCCAAGGAGGGCAAGGAGGCAGCAGTGGTCCCACTACCAGGACACCTCTCCTCTCACAGAGTTGAAACACAACAAGCCCTCACTGTAGAGCTGATTCTAGAATGCATGGGCAGGTGGGGTGGGGCACTGAGTGTCAGGAAGGGTCTGTGTAAAACGGCCCCTCCCCAGCCTTGCCATAGCAAGGGACTGACCATGAATTTGAAGAGCCAGGGGACACCCCTCAAACTGCCTCAGCCTAGCCGACCAGTCCTGGGAAGGGAGCAGCCCACAGGGATGGCACAGCTGGGTGGACACATGGGGATGGTTACTGTCCCTACCTCGTCCCTATCCCCTGGAAATGACCCTGCTTTCCAGGCCCTGGCCTGTCCCTGGTCACTCCAAGAGCTGATGAAGTGTCAACTGGACAGAGCAAAGAAGAGTTTTTCTTTGCAATTTCACAGTAGGATAAAGAAAAGAGATTTGGGTCTTTATCCTCCTAGCCCAGTCTGGTCTGGTCAGGGAGGATCAGCGGGGACCAGACTGAGTGAACTAGTCTGTGACTGGGGACCCAGTTGTCCTGAGGTCCCCATGATGTTTAGGGTCTGCCGGCCAGGACATGGAGACAGCCCTGCACTTGCCAATGAGCTGTGGCCTCTTGGGCAACTGCTTCATCTCCAGGATCCCCAGCCGGGCATAATTATTCCTTCCTGGAAATAATAGTGTGGTGGCAACCAAGAGTAGTGGTCCCCAACTTTTTGGCACCAGGGACTGGTTTTGTGGACGACAATTTGTCCGTGGGTGGGGGCGCACGGGAGGGGACACAGGCTTAGGGTTTCAGGATGAAACTGTTCTACCTCAGATTATTGGGCATTAGATTCTCATAAGGAGCGCACGATCTAGATCGCTCGCACACACAGGTCACAACAGAGTTCGCTCTCCTATGAGGATCTGATGCTGCCACTGATCTGAAAGGAGGCTGAGCCCATGGCTCACCTCCTGCTGTGCAGCCCAGTTCCTAACAGGCCACAGACTGGTACAGGTCCCCTGATTAAAAGCATGTATTGAGCAGTGTTAGATAAACCCTAAACATCAAAACATGTTAGAAACTAAGGAGAAGGTTGGGAAAAGGCATCCAGAGGAAGAAATAATAATCTACGTGTGTGTTGCTGAGTCTCCATGGAGCTTTTAAGCAGGAGTTCTCAGACATTAGTGTGCATTAACATCACCTCGAAGGCTCCTCAAAGGGCACACGGGTGGGCCCACTCCAGGAGCTCCTGACTCGAGGGTGGGACCCAAGAATGTGCATTCTAATAAGTTCTCCAGCACTGCTGGGGCTGCTGGTCTAGAGGCCTCACTTTGAGAACTGCAACCCTTGTCTGCCTGCCTGGGAAAAGAAGTGAGATGGCTCCTGGGCCTCAGAGGAGCTGGATTCA